CATCAAGATGAATTTCAGCATCAAGCACCCAAGACATGTAGCTTTTGCCCGATATATCCAGGGCTACAAATTCAAGTTTAGAAAGATTTGACATTATTTAGGAAAAGAAAGTTCTTACCTCAGATACTTTCAAAATATTTGCTCGAGATGGTAGAGCTTCGTGCTGATAACTTGTTATGAAATAAAGACTATAAAGTAAAGACAAGTATAGAGAGAAACTGATATATTATTCGAATTCAAACTGATGTACATAATGAACTGAAATCTCTTCTATTTATAGAAGAAAGGAAGCTGCTGTGTAAGCTGCTACTACAAGCTGTTGTGTAAGCTGCTACTACAAGCTGCAGTGTAAGCTACTATAAGCTGCTGTGTAAGCTGCTGTGTAAGCTACTGCTGTACCAGATATGGATAATCTTCTACTGAGAGCAATATTTTTCCATAACGGAGTACTGAATGGATAAGCTTATTATACCCGATATGGATAATCTTCTACCGGGGGTAATCTTTATCCATAACTGGGTACTGAAAAGATAAGCTTATTATACCCGATATGGATAAACTTCTAATGGGGGTAATGTTTATCCATAACCGGGTACCGAAGTGATAAGCTTCTTCAGGAAGCTTATTTCCAATATAGTACTAAATAGATAAACATATTTACGGTGGAGTCCCATATGGATAAGCTTCTTCAGGAAGCTTATTTACAACGGAGTACTAAATGAACATCCATAATATAATATATTTATAACAATCTTGAGGTACCTGCTTATTCTTTGGTTTGCTTCAAAAACCGCGGGATGCCTCCGGCATTACAAGATCTTGGAAACGTTGCTTGTAACAGAATTATGTTTTGCACAATTTAAAATCATTGACAAACGAGAATACAGATTATAGTAAAAAAATAAATAAATTAAAATTTGACAAAAAGGATGTATAAGAGAATAGAAACCTGCACTTTCTCATTCCCTTAGAGAAAGTGAGGGTGAGAATTTATGGTTTTTGTGCATAAATATGACTTCGATGAACCAAGGGAGAAGTTTAAAACATTTTAGTTAGGGAAGAGGTGGGAGAGAGAACATGAAAAGGTGTATTTAAGATATTCTTTTATTCTGATAATTAAGATAATTAAAGAGGTGACTCTTTTTAACCGTTGTAATACTTAAAGAAGGTGTGGGAAGGAAAATGAAGAGGTGTAATTAAGAGGTGAATTTTTAATTTTTTAATTTAGAGGTGTATTTAAGATTTTTTTTATTTATTTTGGTAAATAAGATAATTGAGGAGGTGATTTTAACAGTGGCAATACTTAAAGAAGGTGTGAGAAGGAAGATGAAGAGGTGTAATTAAGAGGTGGCTTTTTAGTTTTTTAAATGAGAAAATAGAGAAAAAGGACAAAAAACGTGAACAAAGAAAAATAATAATTTCTAATTATAGATAGTGCAACATCACCTCTCTTCGACCCTAAATTATATTAATATATCGATTTGCCATGACAAAAAGGAGATCAAGGGTTTCAATGTGTTAGATTTGGTGATTTTGAATGAATAAATCAAATAAAAAAAGAAAGAAAAGAAAAGAAAATTTAATTAGAACATAAGAGGGACACTAAACATGCCTACAAACTGTGATTTGAACCTTTAACTTTACTTGTAAAGGTGAACCCAATAATCATTGCATTATCAGACTCTTTGAGCTTGGGTGCACACATGTATATTTAAAGAATTTGTAAGAAATATAATATTATTCATGCTCCAATACATAGATACGCCCCCGTCTCTTATTCCGATGAGCAATCTACCACCAATAGTACCACCAATAAACACCCCCAAAACCACCGAATAGAGAAAATAGAAAAACAAAAGAAGAGAACTTATCACCACAACATTCGTATTGAGAAATGCTATTGGAACAAACTCCATGACAACAAGCACGTATTATTCCCAAGAAAATAATGG